CCCCCCCATCTTCTCAGACCCTATGAAGGAGGGTCACTGGTGACTTCTGATGTCCCAGCAGCCCCACCCTGCTTTCCCACAGGAGGGAAAGAGGAACAAGAGGCCTGGGAGTGTGTGACTTTGGCCTCAGGCTTGATAAGCCTACAGGAGGCTGTCGGGAGGCTTAGCATCCAAGGGACCCTCTGAGGGAGCCCAGATTTAAAGGGGAAAAGGGAGTGGATGGGGAGAAAAGGAGAGGGAACAGCACTGCCTCTCAGGTGGTCACAACCTCTGCCCTCCAGGTGACCCCCATCCCTCTAGAGAGTGGCTCTTGCACTTAAACCCTTTGGGGGCAGGTGGGTCTGCGACCTCTATTTTCAGGATGATCCCATGGCTGGGGTAGTGACCTCTGACCCCATGACAATTCCACAGAAGCCATGGGGTCATGACCTTTGCCCTCCCAAGTAGGGTCACAACCTCCACCCTAAGGCTGGGTGGGGAAGTGAAAAAGGGGGAAGGAAATGGAGCTCTACCCCCAGCCCCTCCCCTCCCCTCACCTGTCAGCTCTGGGTGGCCCTGGCGGCCTAGGGGGGGAGCCAGGCCGAGGGGCGGGCACCAAGGGGGGCGGAGCCCCCAAGAGGGCCCCAGGAGGTGTCTTGCTAAGCAGTTGAGGGGGCCCGGGGGCTGCGGTAGGAGGTGGGGGGGCCAAGCGACCATAGAGTAGCGGATGGGTAGGCTCCAGACCATAGAGGCGAGCTGTGGCCACAGCTCCTGCCCCTCCCAGCTCCTCCCCTGCCTCATAGAATCGTGGGGGGCGGGCCAGGCGTGGAGGGCCTGGCAGCCAGGGCTCCAAGAAGGGGGCACAGCGGTCCGAAGGACTGGGACCCAGGAAGGGGGGTGGTCGGGGCCGATCAAAAAGCAGGTGTAGGCTGGGAGGCCCAGGGACCTCCTCCTTCCTTTCTTCCTTCACCCTCACAGGCTCCTTGGGGGGTCTTACCCCCTCCTCCCCGGCCCGGGACTTGGGGGTGGCTGGGGAAACTCGAAGCTGTGGTCGGGAAAATGGGAGATCCCTAAGGGAAGGGAGAAGAGATGTGCTTAATAAATGGTTGTTGCATGAATGAAATGAAGAACAAGTGACAGCCACAAAAGAAAATGAAATTAAGAGAAGCTAGAAACTAGATTCTTTCTTAATGTGTGGGAGCAAAGGAAAGAGAAATGAAGGAATCTGGTTAAGGTCAGGGAGCTGAAGTCAGAGGTACAGAAAAGGAGGTGGAGGGTCACAGTGCCTGGGCAAAGCCATACCTATCCTTCTCCTCTTTGGGGGCTGAGGGCTCTCGCCTCTCCACTGAACGTTCTTTGTCCGAGCCAGGCGTCCGTGCAGCCTCAGGGGGTCGGGCCCAGGCAGGAAAGGCAGGGGGGCCACGGTGCAGCCGGGCCCATGGATCAGGAGGAGAGGCAAAGGCAGGAGGGGCCCCTGGGCTTTCTTTCTGGGCAAAGACAGCACCAGTGTCTAGAAAAAAAGAGAAAAACCAAGTTGGCCAACTCTGAGAACCAGGAGCTTCAAGTTAAGTGTGAAAGGACACAATCCAACTAGCCAGCTGCTTCACCACTGGATTACAGGACAAGACAACTTAAAGAGATCAGGTGCTCTTATCCGTCCGACTCTTTTCCCCATCTCCCTGATCACAGCACACCCACACTCACTGAACGTAGGGCTGCCCAGGCCTCCAAAGGCCCCATTGGAGAGGGCAGCCAAGGACGCAAAGCTGGTAGGACGCCCAAAAGGATCTGGAGGGGAGACAGGGGAATCAGTCAGTAAAGCACTGACATAGCACTTGCCTTTCTCTAGCCCTGTGTTTAGGATATAAGAAAGTATGACAAGGTCCCTACTCAAAGGAACTAAGAAGTCTTCCTGGGGAGACAAGACTAACACATAAAAAGTCAAATAAAAGAAATGTAAAATGGTTGTAATATAAGATTTCAAATGAATAGAAAAGACAAGTGTTACACCTTTCCAGAAGGGAGAGGTCACCTCAGGCTGGGAAGGTGAGGGATTTCTTAATCCCAGAACAACAAAAAGGATGTTGTTGTTTGAAGGGACCTACACATCATCCAGTCCAACTCCCTCATTTTATAGAGAAATCAAGGCCACGAAAGAAATGGCTTGCTAAATGTTACATTACTAATTAGCGGCAAAGCCACTTTACCCCAAGTCCAAGGTCTTTCCACTAAGCTTTGTTACTTAATAGAGACAGACTTAAGCTGAGCTCAGAGTGTCAGGCAGGCGAAGAACAGAATAAGCAAAGACTCAGAAAAACATGTGTGGTGCATTCAGGGGACACTGAGGTAACTGGCCATGGATAGTTGCGAAGGACTAAGGGTTCTTGGCCTCCAGTCCTGGAGTCATCATTCCTTAGCTTAGTCTTAGGGCTAGTATAGGGATGACCATGAAGAATGGCTCTTACCGATGTGGGTACCAGGGCTCAGAAAGGATGCAGGGGGCCCAGGAGCTGCTGTGAAAGGGTTGGCAGCAGGATGGACAGCACCTGAGAAAAAAATGGAGATAAAGCTTTCTACAAAGGAATTCAGAACCAAGACTCAGATTTATTAACCAGCAAATAGTAGAGCTGTAAGAGACTCATTTTACAGATGAAGGTGAACAAACAAAGGCTGATAAAGGAGCCTCAAGTGACTTATCCAACATCATACAATTTTAGTTAGTGGCATAGACACTATTGGAACTGAGGAAAACTGACTCCCAGGCTAGTGCTCATTCACAGACTCACCTGTTGCGGTGAAGAGGGAAGCTGGGTGGGAGAGCTCCTGCCCAGGGGGAAGGCCTCCATAGGCCCCAGGGAGGCAGGGCAGAAGGTCGTTCCGAAAATCCAGCTTGTGAGGATCACCCTGCATTAACTGGAGAGGAAGAACTCTGGTGAGGGATTTTAGTATCCTCCTCCCTTCTCTATTCCCTTCCCCGAGGTTTCCTTAAGATGCTAACCCCTGGAGAGAATGGGGAAATGGACAAATCTAGTCTTGGGTCCCCTATCAACTTCCTTTTCAGAGTCCACTGCCCTTCACTGGACACTTTGCCCAATGAATTTCTCTCTGAAACCTGGCCCCACTCCCACAGAGATAACTGGTTAGAAAACAATTTGATAAATTATACCTTGTTAAGAGTTTATGGGAATACCACTTTTTCAGTATACAGAGTGCAAGATAGGGCAGGGTTTTGCATTTTTATGGGAAATTCCTGAGAATTGAAAAATTGTCAAGCTCCGGAGGAATGAAGCCTTGATGCTAAAGTTGTAGGCATCCCTACGGGCAGAGAGGGGAGTGGTTTGGGAGCAGAGGGCTCTCCTGCTGCTCATCTACCACTACATCATGTGCCCTAAAGCAGTCAGTAAAATGGCTCTCCCAGCATCCTGTCCTTCCACAGCTCAGACTCACATGCCTCTAGTTCCCCACTCTTCCTGATTCAGTTCCACCCTCTCTCTACCAGTCCTGGTACCTTCATCTTCTCCTGGTGCCTCAAGATCATATAGGCCACTCGCACATGCATGGCACACCACTTCCCTGGTTTCTGAGGTGCAGAAGTAAAAGAAGAGAAGTAATGCCATTAGCCTTCCCCAAACAAACTTCACTCCTTCCCCATTACCCGTAAGACCCTAACCCATGCCATTCTCCATCCCTGCCCCTTTGAACCCACTCCCTTTCCCATCCTACTCACCCTCAGTGGGGGGCGGAAATGGTCAGGAATCTGAAGGGCAGGAACAGAAATGGGAGGACAGCTTAGTCCCACGTGCCAGCACTCATTCTAGCAAACCCAGACTCTAAAATTCCAGCTTCTCTTTGCCCTTGGGGTCCTGGCCTCTGAGCCCAGAGATCACAGTCCTCAGAGCTCTTTCCATTTAAAATAGCCCTCTCCCTTAGAATGACACATAGCCCATTTATTAAGCCCCTTCCCTGGGCCACTCTACCCACTCCCAAAAGCCTGTCCCCAAAAGTTCTAATTGCCTAATGAGCCCCATCAATACTTCAGAGGCCCCAGAACTTTCCTCTTCTGGATACTCTCCCTACCCTGGTCATTTCTTAAGGAACTCTTTCTCTCTGAAACCCCTGCTGAGTATTATTAGGAAAGCAGAGACTATAGCCCCTAGGAAATGCCTACAGTGAGAATATTTTTCCTTTTTCTTCCCTAGGGAGTGGGGGTAAAAAACACAAATCCTACTTTGCCTATATGGCATTTCATCCTCCCAATGTATTCACCACTCCCTCCCCTTATTGCCAAGACCTGACCCTCTTTTGTCTCCCCCAGGCTCACCTGTGTCCCCTTCTGGGGCAGCCCACTGGGGACCGGCCCCAGTCGTGGTGGCAGTTCTGGATTCGTGCTCTGGGGAAAGGAAGGGAGACTGGGTGAGGAGATGGGAACAGAGATCTGGTGACTGAAGGCACAACTGGGATCTAAGAGTTAATTTCCCTAGGTCTTTGGAAGTGGGACAAAGAGCACACAATTTACTGAGAGATAGGTGGGAAAGGAGAATATAGTATCTGTGTTTTGGACACTCACCTTAGGCTGGAAAGCCCCCTGCAGAGAACCAAAGGAAACAGCAGGAGGCAGACCAGGGGGGAGGCCAGGGACAGCAGGGGGGAAGGCCGCATAGAGCTGTGAAGGAAAAATGACCAAACTGGGGGTACAGAACAACAAAAATGCCTCTTTTCTTGCTAGTTATATTGCTCCCTTCCTCTACAACTAAGAATTCAGTGAGATCTCATCTTCTCCTAGGATAAACTTGGTTGCTGTTGGCAGCCCTTGTCCCCAGCACATTGCTGAGTCCTCTATACCAATCAAATGTTCATTAAGCACCAAGAGAGAAGCTTGCTAGAGTATTCCTATACCCAACTATGACCCAGGACTCCTCATGGCACTTACGTTATGCCGGAAAAGGCCTTCGATTTTTCCTGGATATTTCTCGAACTATAAGAAAGAAAATGGGAATAAATTAGAAGGCAGAGACACTAGATACACCCACACACACCCACACGACCCTCCCCACTGTCCATCTCAGAGTTCGCCGAACCATCCCTCACCCTCAAACAATCAGGCAACTTCCCCCAACCCTCCAAAGGCTTCAGATGCCCCTTCCCACCCCTACTAGGTCCTTGAACAGGAGGGGAATCTCACCACGTGGGGGCCGTGGGGGGGCAGCAAGCCAGGAGGGTAGGGGGTGAAGTGCTGGTGGGTGTGCTGGTGGGTGTGCTGGTGCTGGTGGTTGTGCTGGTGGAACTGGAAGGCCAGGGGCCGGGCTGAGCCCCCCGCCCCCCCCACCTCGGGGCCTCCCTGGGCGCTCAGGAACCGAGTGCTCAGGTCCTGCCGCATCAGCTCCTGCTCTGTGAGAAGTGACCAGGACGGGGTAGGGTGGAGGGAGAGAGGGATTTATGCCCCTCCCCCATGCCACCCAAGCACCCTACTCAGGCCTCACCCCCATGGACTCTGATCCCTTGCTTCTGCTTATTCCTTCTCCAACTTTTCGTGTATCAGTCCTCCCCCTTGGGCTCTTCCTCTTTGGTGTATCTTTATTCTACTTCTATTACCCAACATTTATTCCATCATCCTTTCCTTTCAGGCTTCAACCCACACCTTCCTCCTGAATCCATTATCTCTTAAAATGAATGTTCCCTGATTCAAAGAGAAGAATGCCTGCCCCAGTGCTTCTTTCTCTAGGATCTCTCTCTACCTTTCAAAGCAATACAGGCTCTTGAAGACTCACCAGAGAGGGCACTGGCCGTCGCAGCCCCAGGGTGGCCTGCCACCTGCAGCAAAGGTGGGGGTGGGGGTAGAGTAGGGCCAGGGGAGAATAGGGCAGGATGGGGTGGTGGAGGAGGTGCCCGTAGACCAGTAGGGGGGAAGCCGTGGCTGGCCAGAGGCAAGGGCAAAGAGGGTGTTGGGGGCCGATGGGAAAGTTGAGCTGAAGAAGATGAGGAAGAGGAAGATGAAGAGGAAGAGGAAGAAGGTGGAGGTGGGGCCACTGGAGGGGCAGGAGCCTTGGGGGGTGGCCTCGAAGAGCTGTGGAAAAAAAGCAGGGAAACATGAAAAACCTGGAAGAATCTCATCTATTTGGGGGAAGGTCAGACCTGACAGCACCTTCTCATATTCAATGCATTTATAAAGTTTTTCTGCATTATGAATCTTCTGGTGTTTAATAAGAAAAGACCTCAAAATTTAAGCTTATAGACAAATATGAAAATGTATCCCCCAAGGACACATTCTCAGGCAGAGAAATCTTTCATTTCTTGTTTCTGTTGCTTCCTATCCTTGATCCTTTCCCATCACCTTTTCATCCATCCTAACTTACCTGGCCTATACTGATCTCTCTCTTCTCAGACCCCCATGAATACAGACACTATAAGCTATGGCATTTAAGCACAATGCATTGTTTTTTATTACTCAAAAACCACTCAGCCTGAGACTACAGCATCCCAGGACATTTCTCTCAAGTCTTCCTTTCCCCAGGTTAAGTTCTCTTTTTCATTATAGCTCCCTTTTTAAAGAATATGAAGTAACAAAAAGAACAATAGACAGAAAAAAGTCAGAAAACCTAGCCTTTAGTCTTGACTTTGCTACTATCTTACAGCATGGTCTTAAACAAATCATCTTCCCTCTCTGAGTCGCAGTTTCCTCATCTGTAAAATGAGCCCTAACATTCTATTACTTTTAGTGTTTCACATGAATTTTTTCTCTCCCTGGTGAGAATGATTGGTCCTTTAAGGCAACCAACTTTTTTCACCAATGCCCCGTGGTACCTGGAATAGTACAAGTAAAAAGAACGTACATACATACACATACATAAAACACGATGACTCAAGTCAGCTTTCTGGGATGACTTACCTGCCAGTGCTAAGGTCCAGGCCACTGCCATAAGTGGAAGAGCGGATGCCAAAGGGTGAAACCCGGAGCTGCAATTGGGGTGGGGGTGGGGGTGGCAGGCTGACAGGGGCTGGCATCGGGGCTGGGGGGGTGGTTGGGGGTCGGGGGGCCGGTGGAGGCAGTGGCTCCTTGGCAGGGAAAGGCACTAGCAGCGGGTCGGGTCCTGGGGGCTGCTCCTGACTCCGCTCCAGCCCCGACACTTTGGGGATCACAGAGAGTTTCGCTTCACAGTTCCCATTTAAGTTGCCATGGGGGCCCGAGGCTGGAAGGGGAGGGGAAGGTACAAGGTCAGTGGCAAACGGGGTGCCTTGCTGTCCCTCCTCCCTTCCTGGGAGCAACTAATCTCCAGGCTGTGCTCAGCCTCAACCCCAGCCCTGGCCCTGGGAACAAACCTTTGCTGGTTGAGACAGTAAACGATGGATCGAGGTCATCATCAGAGACCTGGCAAGGAAGAGCAGGGAAAGCAGTCAGTTCCTGGTGGCACAAGAGACTCTACCCAGAGACGTCACAGTCCCAAGTCCAAATAGCCTCTGGGCATCCTTGGCAAGACCTGCCCCCACCCAACACAGGCACCAACTCACCCTCTCGTCCAGGTCACTCTCCGCATCACACTGGAGAGAAGGAGAGACAGAAGTGTCAGGGGAGGGGAGAAGAGTTGGCAGGGGGCGTGGTGGTGTCTGCTGGAGAGAGAGTGGGAAAAAACTGGGCAGGGAAGGACCACTTACTATGTATCCGGCTTCCAGAGAATTTCGGGAGGAGGCCTATAAGGGAAGAGTACATAGGTGAGGGACACTTGTCAGGAAGAAGTCAAAGGCAGGGTCAAACAGACATTTGACTCCCTGATGTGGCTGTTGTCCAATTCAAGTTCAAACTCCACAAAAGTGGGCCAGTTTGCCCTATACTCAGCCTAAATTTGCTTTTAGCAGAAGATTCGATCCAGTACTAATTAGTCCCAATCCTAAGGAGCTATGGAATCAAATATTAATAGACATTTTAGGTCACTTAACCCTACCTCCCAACCGGAAGAAATCTTTTCTTTAATCTGACATATGGTCACCCATAGCCTCTGCTGAAACACCCCCACAGATGGGGAAATCACACCTCCAAAGACAACCTTTCCATTATTGGACAGTTTTAACTGCTAGGAAATTCTTCTTGAGCTGTCCACCCCTTGGGCCTTGGTGCATGACACATTACAACCCTTCAAAGGAATGTTTAAAGATATCTGTATTCCTCCTACCCTCTCAACCCCACAAAGCAGTCAAGAACTCTTCTATTTATGAAAGGTCTTTGGCTTTGGCCTGCTCCTTCAAGATTCATGTTCTAAGACCCCAGGCCATCATGACTTTGGAGAGCTGTTTCCTTTGGGACTCTAAGTTCCAAGACCCACTCCTCTAAAAATCCTTGAGTTAGAAATAAACTTAAGGATTATGTAGTCTAACTTCCCACTGAATACAGGAATTCCCCCTCCACTATGTTCCTAAAAGAGCAGCTTCTATGTAAACTTTCACCCACTGGTCCTAGATCTGCCCTCTGAAGGGCCGTTCTCTGTACCTGTTCCAGTTTGTGCTTTCTAAAGTGTAGTACCCCCAACTTAATCACAAAGCACTGAAAGACCACGTTAGCTACACAAGGACCAAAAGAGGGACTGCAGACTTAGTACAGCATGGAATACATAAAAAACTTATGGAAGGATAGGAGAATGAGGAGTAGCACATCTCACCTCTTTCCTCCTTCGCTTGCTGGACCTTTTTCGGGCACGGTCCCCTGGGGGCCGGCCAGTCTCCCGCTCTGAGCTGTCTCCTGGCTCCCCTCGGCCCCCCCCTACACCCCCCCGCTTCCGCTTTCCGGAATGTTTTAGCCGATGCTCCAGTCTCTCTGGGGGCTGAAGGGATGCATCCTTCTGTGGGCAAAAAGTAGACAGGTGAGAGAGAGAGAGAGAGAGAGAGAGAGAGAGAGAGAGAGAGAGAGAG